AAGGTTGTGGGTTCATTTCCCACCTCTGCACCTTCTCCACCGACTCCCACTGATGACTGCTGTCGTTGTGTCCTTGGGCAAGACACTTAACCCCACTTTGCCCAAAGCCCCCACTGAAAGATCAAGGCTATGCTCACACTCAGAGAGCAGCCGTCCTCCTGTGGACTCACCACCTGCAGAGGGTCAGTGAGGGGCTGGTGCTATGAGACTTGGGTGGCATCTCTGACTGCCACCCCCCTGACCCAGAAATGGATTAAAGGGTAGAAAATGGATGGATGGATGGAGGATTAAACCAGGACTAACAACGAGGGACACAGTGTGAACATATTCCTCCAGCCTCATCGCCCGGTGACTGTAAACAAGGCTGCTAAGGTTGGTTAGCCCACACGACAAATATATTTATTTAGGTTAAAAAAAAAAAAACTCAATATATATCGTTATCGACCGATATGAATGACTTATATTGTGATATAGTTTTCAGCCATATCGCCCAGCCCTAAGCAATATACACTCCCAGGGTTAGGACCAAGCAGGCTGGCTGTAATCCCCCACCTGGTACACTTACCAGAAGGGGCACTGCCACTACCATGGGGTGCATCTGGATGAATGGTTGAAGGTTCTCCGCTTGAAGTTTCTTTTAGCCCGTCCGTTTGTGAGAGGATCTCTACTGCTCTCCCTGTCGCACAGAAAATAAAAAATAAAAGTGGCCTTTAGGGGAAAAAAAATTATACATATTTTAATAATATCAAGAATTACCTTCAGGCTCAATTTGTATCTGGTCGAGGCTCTTTCCTTTGAATTCCGTCACTCTTCCCTGCTCCATGGCCATCAACACTTTGCTGATTTTGGCCAGCTCCAGTGTCCCCTCTGGTAGTCTGTAATATTGCCTGTGGATGCGAATGTCATGGCCGAGGAAGTTGGCAAGTATGTCCATCTCATTCTCTTTCATATTGAGAACTGTAGACATAGTAGCTATGTGCTTTCTAAGTTTGGTTGAGGATAGCATCTCTGGATGCACCGCACCACATTCTTTGGCTACCTGGCGTAGGGAGTCTGATCCCCTGATGTGGGTGTCTGCGCCCGGGCGGGAGAAGAAGTATGGGTTATGGTCAGAGATGGAACAGGCCCTTCTGTTCTCCACCAGCACCTCCATCCAAGCAATCATTTCAGGAGTCAAAAGAACCGGCACTTTCCCACTTCTTTTCCCTTTAATTTCAATGCGTTGAAAATGCTGACACAGCTTTTTCTCAAGTTGGGACAGTCCCAGAGCAATGTCAGAATGGATCCCAGTCTTACTTCTTAAGGTAAAGGCTGTCAGTGGCATCTTTGAAACCTCACCTTCCCTTCTTCGATTGAAAATAATGACCTCACAAAGAGTCAAAACTGCCAGTTTAGACCAATGCTTAGACGTTGGCTCACTTATTAGGGTTTGCACATATTCAGGTCGACATACCTCAATATGTGCATGCATGGCTCTAACGTCCTCAGTCAGAGGGAGCAGGTCCGGAGTGTTCCACTTGGCTTGCCGGAGGGTCTGTAGGGCAGCAGAAGAAACACAGACGTCCCACCTCTTCTCAAAAAGCAGCCGGCTTCGTTGGAGGTTTTTAATAAATAGTTCATCAACACAATGCTCAATTTTTGAGTCACATTCAAGAATATCTGCTAGCTTTCTGAGGCTATGGCCGAGTTTGAGGGCCAAGGATGGAGTCTTGTATTGATTTGTTTCCTCATCATATCCAGCCACAGACCTGACTGCATCAATCACATGGTTAAAGTTGGAAGGAATAAAGAAATCCTTCATTGTTTTCAGTTTCCCTGCAGTTTTTGCTTCGTTAATTAACCTACCGACTTCTCTCATTTTCTGCCTAATGTAATCATGCTTAGTCTTATCATGCCCGTGTTTTAAGTACAGGTGCTCTCCGAGTCTCAGAATCCCCTTTTCTGCTTTGACAACACCCGTGACCTCATCCTGATGCATTGCCGAAATTAAAGACCACAGCTTTTTGCTGATGCCCTCCGGTACAGGCTGGGCTAGGGAGCAGAGGGACTGGACCCTACTTCTACCTGGTTTAGCCTGGTTTAGCCTGGGCATCTTTCTGTGAAAGCCGGCACCTGGCCACATGCCTCCACAGCGACTTTCGCTTAAGCAATGCCCCACAGTCTATACAGTGCAAAAACTCACTGGATTTAACTGGGGAATTTGGCTGTTTAGCTGGGACTAAAGTTCCAATGCCGGCCTTTAAAACCTCAACATTGTGCTCACGGTTTCCACTATTCCTGATCAAATCAAACTGAAGTTTACGTGCTTTAGATTTCACAGGTAGAGCCAATGCTCTGGCTACGTCACTTTCATTTCCATGTTTTCTAGTCAAATGACGGGACATTTTGTGGCAGGACATTGAACAGTAGAGGCAGAAGTGTCTCTTGCTGTAAACTCTGCCCCCATTTTTCTTCTTTTGCAGCTGCATGATAACAATCTTATTTGCCTTTGGTTCGTCACTTTCCGAGTCTTGAAGAAAAGTGTTTTTGATTTTTCTTTTTCCATACTTTTTTACAGGTTTCTTCTTGACAGTTTAAATCGTCAGAATCTGAGTCGACTTCATCAATTAGGGACTCTTGACTAAGCTGCACAAACAACAAATAATTAGTAATAATTCTATATAACAATTTGAAGTCATGACTTGTAGTCAGCACTTACCAGTGGTTTGTAAGCGTGCGCTTCAGTGTGCTGCTCTGTGATTGGCTGCAGCCTAATGAACCACACACTTGCACCTTTTCTAGCCTGACACCTGACTTCCTCTGTTGTGCTGCTCCATGATTGGCTCCAGCCTCTGTTGTGCTGCTCCATGATTGGCTCCAGCCTGCTGGACTGAAATTGCCCCAGTGTGCCCCTCCTTGATATCCCGCAACCCACCACCAGGGTTCCGACACATAACACACTTTTTTCAGGAAAGTAAACCTCCAGGGGTCCTTTCCATATTTTTACAGAGACTGCATAAGGACCGTTAGAAAAGCATTACCCATTGATTATTAAGCTTGGACCAGTGGGGTCCGGTGTTCGGGCCCCACCACGTAAAACCAGTCCCCATGACGTGAGTGGAATCTCAGGTTATGGAACCCACCAGGAGTTGAAAACAAGTGCACACACACACACACACACACACACAGACACACACACACACACATACACAGAGATACACACACACACACACAGACATACACACACACACACACACACACACACACAGAGAGAGATACACTTTTATTTATATTTCACAAAAAATCCACTTAAACGGTTTCAGAAAAACAATACACAAATTCTGGAATGGCCTTCCTCTGTTCTCGCTCTGGTCTCTCTTTGGTCTCTCTCTCTGGTCTCTCTCTCTGGTCTCTCTCTGGTCTCTCTCCCTAGTCTCACTCTGGTCTCTCTCTAGTCTCTCCCTCTGGTCTCTCTCTGGTCTCTCTCTCGTCTCTCTCCCTAGTTTCTCTCTGGTCTCTCTCTAGTCTCTCCCTTTGGTCTTTCTCTGGTCTCTCTCTGGTCTCTCTCTCTGGTCTCTCTCTAGTCTCTCTCTGGTCTCTCTCTCTGGTCTCTCTCTGGTCTCTCTCTAGTCTCTCTCTAGTCTCTCTCTAGTCTCTCTCTGGTCTCTCTAGTCTCTCTCTGGTCTCTCCCTCTGGTCTTTCTCTGGTCTCTCTCTCTGGTCTCTCTCTGGTCTCTGATCTCTCTCTAGTCTCTCCCTCTGGTCCCTTTCTGGTCTCTCTCTAGTCTCTCCCTCTGGTCCCTCTCTGATCTCTCTCTAGTCTCTCCCTCTGGTCTTTCTCTGGTCTCTCTCTCTGGTCTCTCTCTGGTCTCTCTCTAGTCTCTCTCTGGTCTCTCTCTCTAGTCTCTCTCTGGTCTCTCTCTAGTCTCTCTCTAGTCTCTCTCTAGTCTCTCTCTGGTCTCTCTCTGGTCTCTCTCTGATCTCTCTCTCTAGTCTCTCTCTGGTCTCTCTCTGGTCTCTCTCTGGTCTCTCTTTCTGGTCTCTCTCTGGTCTCTCCCTCTGGCCTTTCTCTGGTCTCTCTCTCTGGTCTCTCTCTGGTCTCTCTCTGGTCTCTCTCTCTGGTCTCTCTCTCTGGTCTCTCTCCCTAGTCTCTCTCTGATCTCTCTCTGGTCTCTCCCTCTGGTCTCTCTCTGATCTCTCTGCTCTCTCTTTCTGGTCTCTCTCTGGTCTCTCGCTCTGGTCTCTCCCTGGTCTCTCTCTGGTCTCTCTCTGATCTCTCTCTGGTCTCTCTGGTCTCTCTTTGGTCTCTCTCTGGTCTCTCTTTGGTCTCTCTCTGGTCTCTCTCTCTGGTCTCTCTTTAGTCTCTCTCTGATCTCTCTGGTCTCTCTCTGGTCTCTCTCTGGTCTCTCTCTGGTCTCTCTCTGGTCTCTCTCTGGTCTCTCCCTAGTCTCTCTCTGATCTCTCTCTAGTCTCTCCCTCTGGTCTCTCTCTGATCTCTCTGCTCTCTCTTTCTGGTCTCTCTCTGGTCTCTCGCTCTGGTCTCTCCCTGGTCTCTCTCTGGTCTCTATCTGGTCTCTCTCTGATCTCTCTCTGGTCTCTCTGGTCTCTCTTTGGTCTCTCTCTGGTCTCTCTTTGGTCTCTCTCTGGTCTCTCTCTCTGGTCTCTCTTTAGTCTCTCTCTGGTCTCTCTTTAGTCTCTCTCTGATCTCTCTGGTCTCTCTCTGGTCTCTCTCTGGTCTCTCTCTGGTCTCTCTCTGGTCTCTCTCTGGTCTCTCTCTGGTCTCTCTCTGGTCTCTCTCTGGTCTCTCTCTGGTCTCTCTCTCTGGTCTCTCTCTCTGGTCTCTCTCTGGTCTCTCTCTGGTCTCTCTCTGTTCCTTATTTGGTCTGACCAATGTTTAATGTTAAAGTATTTATGTCAGATTTAGTCTCATCGTAAATGCAGTTTAGTAAAACACATTTCTTACCTGTTCTGTTGATGGTTGAACCATGGACCCAGAGTAACATGGTCTTTCTCTCCACACAGATCCTCAGTGTCCAGTGCTGTGTCCCTGAAGAGTGACCGGTCTATGGAGTTTCAACCAGAGTTCAGTCTTGAAGCTGCTTCTTCAAAACCACAGTGAGAACAAAGGAAACACTAACACTGATCTGACTTTAGATTACATTTATATTTAAAGTTTACGACTGGACAGAGTGAGGCTTAGTCATAGAATCACCAGTGGATTAAACATGAACATCACATGTGAAAAGAGGGTTCATGGTCCATGACAATGGAACGTGTGTATTTTAGTAATGTGCTTTTGTGAAATAAAGTGTATATTGTTGCACATTTGACCTTGTAGTGAGAGCTGCATGTGCTCATGGTGCTTCAGTCTCATCACAGTGGTCTGTACCATGCTTTAGGATCCAGTGTTTAGGAGGTGTTCTCTGCTGTGGGACCCCCGCACCAGAAAACATACAGAACCATTGATCCTGGAGCTCTGTAGACACAGATCAGAAGGTACCATCTGACCACAGCTACACTACGAGGTCAAACACACAACAACATCACCTTTACTACACACAAAGTCTCATCAATGTTATTTATATACTTTTAATAAACCATTACAGCTCTAATATCCAATGTTTTTGTCCAGAGAAAAGTCACTGCTGGACTCCAGCCCCAGGGCCCAAGACCTCAGGGCCCAAGACCTCAGGGCCCAAGACCTCAGGACCCAAGACCTCAGGACCCAAGACCTCAGGGCCCAAGACCTCAGGGCCCAAGACCTCAGGACCCAAGACCTCAGGACCCAAGACCTCAGGGCCCAAGACCTCAGAGCGACACAAGGTTTGTCTGTTTCCCTGTTTATGACCAGAGGTAGAAAACACACAATGCACTCAGTTCAAAGAACTGTTGTTACTTTGTAATTGTTTTACTGCAGTAAATGTTTCCATCTAGGATTTATAATGTGAGCGACAGTTACAGGATATAAACAAATGCAAGTAAAGGCTTTAAAGATAGTCTTTTTTCTCCATCTAACGTTGAGATCATATTTTACAGTCAACTCTCGAGCGCCACGCAGTTAAAGTAGCAACGATATTAGTATCACCTGTGAGATCACAAACTCGATCCTCACGTCCTTTTTGTCTCTTATGTTTGTGTGTGTTTGAAGATGGTGCATTCACACGGAGCGACTTCCAGCCTCATGGACATTTATAGGTCACATTCTAAGCCTTTAACAACTATTCACAAATATAGTGGAGGAGAATATTCTTAAGGTCTCATTTAGATGTTTTTCATTTGGAACAAGTGTAAAAATACTGAGTCTGTACCTTTAACATCTCCTCAATTATAGAAACATTTCCTCCTGTTTAATCTGAATATAACGATACGTGGACAAACCAGTCTGACACCTGCTCCTGAAAGTATTCCACCTCTTTCACTTTTATATCATTTTCAACAGTAAAGCACGATATATTGGTATAAATATCGATATCAGCCGATGTTCATCAATCCATGTTCAGGCTTGCTAGTGGATACTCGATTACAGAACTATAATTCATCTTTATGAAACACAACAATATTATTATAGCATGAAATGTACCACTTTTAATTAGGGCTGTCAAATGTTTAAATGTTTTTTATTGATTCATCGCATTTTTAACATTCTATTTCAAATCCACTCTAATTGAAGTTAAATGAGATTATCCAATGTAATGACACGTGTCATTCAGACCAAATGTTCTTAAATCTGTCAGATTTGCTCACAACCTCTTACTTTGGGCACAACCAAAATGAGCTGTTAATGAAAGGGGGAAATTTACGTACCCCAGCTTTAATTCAGAGAATTTTTGTTTAAGTTTAGTTTCAGGAGGAGATAGGACACTTTCACGGTGTATTTGCGTGCACAGGTTACACACAGGTTACAAAGACACAAACACAACATGCAGAGAATGTGGCGTGTTTGGTCTTATATGACCACGTTACCGCGGCAACATTCACTCACAGCGGCTCACAGCCGTGTTGTTGTTAGCGGCTCACAGCCGTGTTGTTGTTAGCGGCTCACAGCCGTGTTGGTGTTAGCGGCTCACAGCCGTGTTGTTGTTAGCGGCTCACAGCCGTGTTGGTGTTAGCACCTCACAGCCGTGTTGTTGTTAGCGGCTCACAGCCGTGTTGTTGTTAGCGGCTTACAGCCGTGTTGGTGTTAGCGGCTCACAGCCGTGTTGGTGTTAGCGCCTCACAGCCGTGTTGTTGTTAGCGCCTCACAGCCGTGTTGTTGTTAGCGCCTCACAACCGTGTTGTTGTTAGCGCCTCACAGCCGTGTTGTTGTTAGCGCCTCACAGCCGTGTTGGTGTTAGCGGCTCACAGCCGTGTTGGTGTTAGCGGCTCACAGCCGTGTTGTTGTTAGCGCCTCACAGCCGTGTTGGTGTTAGCGGCTCACAGCCGTGTTGGTGTTAGCGGCTCACAGCCGTGTTGTTGTTAGCGCCTCACAGCCGTGTTGGTGTTAGCGGCTCACAGCCGTGTTGGTGTTAGCGGCTCACAGCCGTGTTGGTGTTAGCGGCTCACAGCCGTGTTGTTGTTAGCGGCTCACAGCCAGAGTGGCCACGGAGGAGGCGGACTTCAGTTCACAGCAAACAGCCCCGCGGTCTTGCGTGTATTCTTTTAAAACTTGGATTCCCAGAGACCTGCTCTGATGCATCTCACACGCAGCATTCTGTTCTGAGTGATATTATGGATAAATGGGCGGGTCATTGGGACATGCGTTAATGCATAGAAAAAAAATGTACGCATTAATGAAAAATTTAATTAACGTGAGTTAACGCGATCATTTTGACAGCCCTACTTTTAATACTATGTTAAACCTTATTTATCTAGTTTTTAAAGTCAATTATTATTGGTGACTATTTATTCTTGTCTATTTTTATCCATGACTCTTTTTATAACTGCTACATACGCTGCATTAAAGATAGTTTTCACTCAAAATAAGAGCCACAAAAAGCTCCTGTGTGCCTTTTCCCACATCGCCCATTCTAACTAAAATAAAATACATTCTGAAAACAGAGGAATAATTTCAGTATGTACAAACTTTTATCATCTCAGAATTATTATTATTATTATTTTAAACACAATGTTAAATGTTAAATACTGGTTATCGGCCATAACAGAAACATTAATATCGGATATCAAAATCGGCCAAAGTGTTCATATCGGTGCATCCCTAATTTTCATTTCTACAGCTGTAATCTCAACGGTTTTCATTTTCCTGTCAATCTACTCGGAATACTCTATGACAAAGTTTAAGATGTTTTTTAGGATTCTTTGCCGTTTGGTTAAGAATCAAACACAAAGAATCCCATGTACATAAGTGTTCAAATAGTCCAAACTGCATGAAGGTGGTTGAGTACTTTCTGGATGCACTGTGCCACTAAAGCTGAAGTAAACTCTGCTGAGACTTACATCTTTCACAGATAAAAGGAGACTCTGGAAACAGGGGAATAAGCTCTAAATGAAACATGCTGAATAGAAGTAATATAAAAGAAACACATGATTAAACTGTTACATCTGCATTCCTCTCACAGAAGAAGAGCTCCAGAAGCTTCTGCAGGATCATAAACGGCGTCTGATCAGCAGATGTGGGAGTGTGACCGAGGGAACAGAAGGAGCAGGAAGTACTCCTCTGAACAGCATCTTCACTGAGCTGTACATCACAGAGGGCCTCAGTGAACACACCACAGCCCAGCATGAGGAGCAGAGGCTGAGGGAACTCTCCAAGAAGACTGCCCAGCATGAGGAGCAGAGGCTGAGGGAACTCTCCAAGAAGACTGCCCAGCATGAGGAGCAGAGGCTGAGGGAACTCTCCAAGAAGACTGCCCAGCATGAGGAGCAGAGGCTGAGGGAACTCTCCAAGAAGACTGCCCAGCATGAGGAGCAGAGGCTGAGGGGACTCTCCAAGAAGACTGCCCAGCATGAGGAGCAGAGGCTGAGGGAACTCTCCAAGAAGACTGCCCAGCATGAGGAGCAGAGGCTGAGGGGACTCTCCAAGAAGACTGTGCAGGAAACCTCCATCAGGTGTCAGGACATCTTTAAAGCACTGCCCACTGAGGAGCAGCAGGGGGCGCCACAGTCCATCAGAGCAGTGCTGACCTGCGGCGTGGCTGGAGTGGGGAAGACCTTCTCAGTCCTGAAGTTCTGTCTGGACTGGGCTCAGGGCTCAGAGAACCAGGAGCTGGAGCTGGTGGTGCCGCTGTCCTTCAGAGAGATGAACCTGGTGAAAGGGCAGCGCTACAGTCTGATGCAGCTCATACAAGTGTTCCATCCAGCGCTGGAAAAACAGGTGCTTTATCTTCTGCTTCAGTCCAGTTCACAGTGTTTACTTTCAAACATTTATTATAGTGTTTAACACAACTGAGAACTTCTGCCACCCCTGAGCTGATGGCGTTTGAATCAGTAACTAATAAAACGTTATAAAAACAGCTTCATTCCCTGGTGTCAAACTGATGTCACATCATCATCATGCTCAGAAACTGCTCTGCATTCATCATGTATGACTTGGTAACTGTCATGTTCTTGTGTCCACAGACTCTCTCTCCACACTCTCTGTCCGTCTCTAAACTACTCTTCATCTTAGACGGCCTGGACGAGAGCAGACTGGGTCTGGACTTTGACTGTGAGCTCATCTCTGAGGTCACACAGAGCTCAGACGTCAGTGTGCTGATAGTGAACCTCATCAGAGGCACTCTACTTCCTACTGCCCTTATATGGATCACCTCCAGACCAGCAGCAGCCAATCAGATCCCAGCACAGAGTGTGCACAGAGTCACAGAGGTCAGAGGCTTCATCACTGAGCGTCAGAAGGAGCAGTACTTCAGGAAGAGGTTCACAGATGAAGAGCAGTGTAAGACAGTCCTGTCCCACATCAGAAGCTCCCGCAGCCTCCACATCATGTGTCAGATCCCCATCTTCTGCTGGATCACCGCCACCGTCCTGGACCACATGTTGAGAACCGATCCAAGCGGAGCGCTGCCCCAGACTCTCAGCGACATGTACGCTGGCTTCCTATTGGTGCAGACCAACAGAAAGAGAAAATACCAACCGAGACCTGAGGCCCGTTCAGAGAAAAGCAGTTTTTGGTCTGGTCTGGTTCAGAAGCTGAAACAAGATCCAACAGTGGTGTCGACAGAAGCAGACATCCTCCTGAAGCTGGGCAGACTGGCCTTTGAACATCTGCTGCAAGGAAACATAATGTTCTACCAGGAAGACCTGGAGCAGGTGGGACTGGACCTGACCGAGGCCTCGGTCTACTCAGGACTCTGTACAGAGATCTTCAAACAAGAAAGTGTTGTCTTCAACCAATCTGTCTACAGCTTCGTCCACCTGAGTGTCCAGGAGTTTATGGCAGCGGTTTACCTGCTGCACTGCTTTGGAAGTGACATGCACGTCGTTGAGAAGTTTCTCTGTGAAAAGACTCAGACAAAGTTAAGTGCAAGTGAGTTTCTCAGAAAGTCTCTTGATAAATCCCTGAGTGGTTCAAACGGTCGTCTGGACCTGTTTGTGCGCTTCCTTCATGGCCTCAGTCTGGACTCCAACCAGAGACTTTTAAAAGGTCTGCTGAGTCCAGTGGAACAGTCAGAAATCCACAAAGTCATTGAAAACCTCAAAGAGATGAGCTCAAAGGAGAAGTCTTCAGACAGAAGCATCATCATCTTCCACTGTCTGATGGAGATGAAGGACCAGTCTCTCCTGCAGCAGATCCAGCTTCTCCTGAAGTCTGGAAGTGACTCAGCAGAGAAACTGTCTGTGTTCCAGTGCTCTGCTCTGGCCTACATGCTGCAGATGTCAGACCAGGTCCTGGAGGAACTGGACCTAGAGAAGTACAACACGTCTGTAGAAGGCCGTAGGAGACTGATCCCTGCTGTGAGGAACTGCAGGAAGGCTCGGTCAGTCCTCACAAACTGCTTCAAGTACTGATCAGACTCTAACATATTTAAATCTAACGTCTGTTTACAGGTTGTGTAACTTTAGATTCTCAGAGACCGACTGTGAAGTGGTGGCATCAGCGCTGAGTTCCAGCCCCTCCCTTCTCACTGAACTGGATCTGAGTGAGAATAAACTGAGTGACTCAAGTGTGTCTGTGCTGTGTGCTGGACTGCGGAGTCCTCACTGTGAGCTCTCCTCTCTCAGGTGAGTGTCCTTCATCTAAACCTCAGGGATCCTGTAAATCATTACAGTTTAGCACTAAACACTGGTCTTGTTTATCAAGATGTATAGAGCTTGGAAGTGGGCGGAGCTTCAGGGTCTAGAAGTAAAATCCATCTTACTATGATTAAGGCTTAGAACATTCTTTTAGGGTGTATTCAGACCTGCACATTTGCTCCACTTTAAACGGACCAGGATTCGTTTGGAACTCTGATCCGAATCTTTTATGCAGGTCTGTATACACACAAACGAATCCTGGTCCGGACCAAAGAACCGAACCGAGACCCACTTTTTGAGGTGGTCTCGGTCCGCTTCCAAACGAATTCTGGTCCAAGTCGAATCAGGTCTGAATACATCCGGTGTCGATCCGACACAACTCCAAGATACGTGCGCATTTTTTGGGCTTAACAAGCACCGCAGACAGAAACTGAGGAATTAGCCATGCGTCACAGCGGCTAACTATGCTGCTAACTATGCTGCTAACTCTGCTGCTAACGCTGCTAACAACAATGAGCCGTGTGCAGACCTGGAGCAGTGAGGAGACGCTGTGCAACAGGCTTATGGAGTTAAAACTGTTCACAGTATACATTGATGTTAATGGCAGCATCTTCAAACCATTTGCATTATTAAAAGCCTGACACTGTTTGACTCACGTCTCAAAGAGCAATATTCTGCATCATGTAGTGAATTGTGTTCTTTGGTTCATACCTGATCCTCAGCGTCTGTTTGTCCCGTGGTTATTATAGATCCATGGTTTATCCACAATGCTGAACAGGGCCGTTATTATAATAGATCCATGTGTGGGACAGGGTGCGTACCGATGTTCCCCGGGTCCGATGTTCCCCGGGTCCGATGTTCCCCCACTTCTATAGGCGGGGGAACATCGGACCCGGGGAACATCGGTACTTCGCGTATTAAAAAGTCCCGATGTTCCCCGGGTCCGATGTTCCCCCGCCAATAGAAGTGGGGGAACATCGGGACTTCAACAACGAAACTAGTCCCGCTGTTCCCCGCGTGCACCCTTTGATGTTTGATGTTTCCTCCTCCACGAAAGATGGCATATGATCCGCGCCAACTTTTGTGAGAGAAAAAATACTAACTAGCCTAAGCCTATTTACTTTTCTTTTTCCCTCTCGCTCTTTGTGTGCTCATATTTCAGCTGATCGCAGCTTGAGTCTGCAGGATATTTTTGGGCATGTTATGGGCATGTTATCTCCCCTTGCTCACTCTCCCATGGGCATCTATATTTGACAAGTCTGACTGAATAAAATGAGGACGATTGAAACTAGAGCTACTACATCTGTTAGCCTATAGTTTTTACAAATACGTGGTTTTGCTGAGGGCACTGTGCTTTTACGCATAATGGACACGCATATGACGTCGTTTTTGTTGTAAAACTTGAATATGCTCTTTTAGTTTTAGAGATATTAATACATATTATTCTATTCAGAATGCGCGTGCGTCATTGTGCATTGTTGTCCCGCCTTACGTGTCACTCACAGTTAAAATGTAAATAACCAATTCAAACATAGCATTTTTACAACTTGAACTTTAAGAAAAAAATGATCAAAGGAATCAGTGTAAAATAAGATCGGAAAAGCTCAATTCATGATTGTTTAATTAGGTTTCCCATTTTTAAATACAATTGGAAACGCTCAGAATTCAAAAATATTGAAAAGTGTATTGGCTCCTACAGTGGGGGGAATAATAATAATAATTATAATAATAATATAACCCCCTGAGCGTCATCACGTTCCTACGTTGCTTCAAATATAGTCCTGTTTATTGGCTGAACAATTTTGTCCAATATCATATCACACAGCGTGAAGCGAGAACAACCAGCTATTCCTCGTCTTAAAGATTGACAACGCTCTCAAAGCATTCACAACAGAGCAGCCTTTTTCATTTTAATTTTAAGAAAGTTCAGCGTGAACTTTGTGAGGTAGAGTAGCCAGAGGCCCGGGCCCGTAGGTCCCAGAGGAGGAGGGTCAGGCCTGGCTCGCCTCGCACTGATGAGGTAAACTCTAGGCCTGTGTGTGAGACACACTGTGGGCCTCACTGTGGGCCTCATGTATGAAACCTGCGTACGGCCAAATCAGGGTAAATGAGGCGTACGCAAAATATTACACTTTTCCGCATTTATCTATCTGGACGTGAGCGTACAATACGCAAAAAATAAACGCCAGGTCTGGAGGTGGTGTAAATCTATACGCTGAACTCAACCTTCGGCACAACACGCATGAAATTCAAGATATGTACAACAATAAACATATTCCCTCTGGCAAAATTATATGCTGTGTTTTCATTGAGGATCATGTTTCAAAATTTGAATTTGCGCATCAGAAAAAGTCTAATGGAAACAAGCAAACTTCGAATAAATCACAGCTCATGAGGACCCTCTATTAAATCTGACTTGTGTGTGTATTATTTTGATCTGTATGTTTTTAAAATGTGAAGCGCTTTGTGATCCTGGACAGTGAAAGGCTCTATATAAATACACATACGCGACAGGGATGTGTGACCCGTCTATTGCTGTGGCAGGCTCTGCGCTGCGTAATTACGCACGGCTATTTGTATTCCTCATTCACATCTGGTAAAGCAATGTGTTATTTCATTAGATTTGTGTAAGCCTCACACAGACACACACCCCAATAACGCATCGATGGTATTGCTCACTCAAACGTCTCACTGCCCTGTCCAGAGTGCGCAGCGAGTGCCGTGAGAGGTCGCGCCACATGTGCAGAAGTTTTGGCTTCAGAGTTTCTTTGTGAAATCTGGACCGCAAACGCTCTCTGAAGTGTACAGCGCTTCAATGCGCACTTCTACCCCGAGCCAGGCTGCGTCCAAGACGCTGCAGACGCTTCATTCAGAGCCACCGCTGCATAATATATATGAATTATTCATTCATTCAATCAATCTATATTTATTCACTTCTACAATTCAATAAGGATTTTTCTAATGTATCAAAACATTTTGGCAAATTGCGTAAATGGAATATACACCCAAAATGTACACCTTTTTCAACGCAAGTTTCATAAATGAGCTTGTGTGTATGTGCGCGCGTGAGTGCGTGTGCGTGCGTGTGTGCGTTTGAACCATATTCTTTGAAACCCCAATTCCAGTTAGCCCTTGTAGTTTGCAAGCGAATTTGGCCTACTTACTAATCTGCAGGCCTACCCAAAATAGACTAGTTATGAGCGAAAGCCGCTTGTTGCTCCATTATCCGCGCGCAGCAATAACATGTCTATGAGCGAGGCCCGCAGTCGGGGAACACCGGGCCCTCCGGCGTTTGGAAGGTCCGATGTTCCCCGGGTCCGGTGTTCCCCGCCCCGGGGAACTCCGGACCCGGGGAACACCGGACCTGGGGAACATCGGACCCGGGGAACATCGGGCCGACCCCGTGGGACAGGACACGGAGCGCACAGACAGAGTCTCCTTCGGCTTTCTCCTCACGCATTCTCCGACGCTGTTCCAATATTTAAAACAACGTGTTTGGCCTCTGTCATATGAGCTGCTGCTGTTGATGTTGGAGGTGGTTTTGCTCTAAAAAGAGCAAACATAGGCAGAGCAGACATGCTGCACATACTGTACGAGCCCTCTGTTTTCCTCTGGTTCCGCGTCTATCCTCCGTGAGCTCTCGCTGTCCAATAGGAGCGCCGATCGTCACACGTGTCAATATGTTTATATAAAAAAGTTCACTTGCAAAAAGGACAGTCTGAATACGAACCGGAGCAAAAGAAAAAAGTTTGGTCCGCTTTTGATTCGGATCAAGCAAGCGGAGCAAAGGACTTTTCAGGTCTGAATACACCCTTAATAAGACACAGCTGTGAAGACAACATCAGGGACACTTTTCTGTTGTTGGACGCACAAACTATAGTCACTTTTTAAATGTGATTATTCACAATATAAGCCTTTAATATAAAGCCTCATGTGGTGTATGTAATTCTAGACTTAAATATATAAAAGTGTTTCATTCTTCATTACTATTATTCATTTCACTAAGTGGTGTTTCCATGAATGCATCACTGTTTTAAACATATAGTTTATTCTGTAAAAATGGGTCAGTAGTTGATCTGAGGCTTCTAGATTTAGGCATGAATGTGTCCAGAGCAGCTGTGGTCATGAACCTGAGCCGCTCTGTGGACTTCAGGACATTATTTAGAAGTGGTCGTTGGTTCGAATCCTGTCCCTGTGCTCTTGGACTCTTGTCGTTTCTCTGGTGTGTGACAATGGGTTTAATATCTTAAAGGAGACGTACTGTGCTTTGCTCTGATGTTTAATCTATGACACGTGTGGATCATTCTTATATATTTGGAACATGTTCAGTCTCAGAATATCAAAGCAAAGCAACGAGCAGTGGAGTCTTTGCATGTGTGCCAAAATGCCTGCTGATCATCCACATGTCAGATTACAGGGAATACAGACGACTGGGTCTTTGTGTGTGATATGTAACATCATTATGAATCCTTTGTATTGTTATTGTTCATGTGTTTCCCACTGCTCAGCTGTTGTTCTTGTTTGGCATTATTCCTCAACTTGTATCGTAGTCTATAAGATCACGATGCTCATTACATCATGTTTTCTTTATTCAGGTTGAAGCGCTGTGGTTTGTCAGAGATCAGCTGGTCCTCTGTGGCCTCAGCTCTGGAGTCCAACCCCTCACATCTCACAGACCTGGACCTGAGCTGGAACAATCTGTCTGATTCAGCAGTGTCTGATCTGTGTGGTTTTCTACAGAGTCCAGACTGTCGACTGGAGAGACTCAGGTCAGTTCACTGCACAGAAACACTACACACTAAAGTGTTTCATATGAAACTGCAAACACACTTTAAATGATTATAAATGATTCACACAAACATCTGTTACTGTCAATGTCTTTAACTCATGTTTATATTTTGTTCAAATAGTTTCTCACATTTATGTACCACTTACATGGAACTTCAAAGCTACAACTGTGTCTAAGGCTGAGAAAAGTCTCATGTTTTTGGTCGGGCCGGGACTTTAACGAGTTCATTAAGATAAATTATTTACACACATTTTAATCGTATTTATTTTTGCACCACGGAACATTTCTCACTGGATGAGTTTCAGACGGACCGATTATACTGACGCACCAACTGACAACAAACCACCATGGATGTATTATATTAACTGGATAGGGTATTACTAGCTTGTAGCTGAATAACTCATGTGCTCAGGGGATTCTCGCGGTACTGCAGACTGAACCAGACTAAATTCACGTGGGCTACCCAGGAATTTTCCCCATAGAACTCAATGCATATTAAAACAGCTCAACCTCAGCTGACAGAGAACCTGACAGAGAACCTACAGCTTTAATAAAGATAGGATTTTGTGGGGATTTTAGTGTCCCTTGTCATCCTGAACTTTTTTTCTTCTTAAATCCTTCGGTTTTGTTTAAATCCACACTTTAGTGCCACAAACTCTGCTCGTCTGGCTCTCGCTCTAACTCCCGCTCTGATGAACTGCTCTGATTGGTCAGAGCGCGGCCGAGCCCCTCTGTGCATGTGCGTGAGACCCGTTGTGAGACCCACACACACGTGTTTGACGCAAAGCATCATGGGAGATCATCCACTGCACAGAACCGGGAGGACCAGACGATGCCCAAACACAAGCGAGTTTCCCAAAGATCTTTGAGAGTTTCCCATAGATCTTTGAGAGTTCCAGGCAACTTCCGCTAATCTTTCAGCCTCCATGCCGTCACAAAGCGCCACTGAGCACAACCATTCATTTGAATAGGGCGCCATCTTGGATCGCCGGGGCTTGCAAACCACAGGCTGTGTCCAAAACGCTAGGCATCGGGCCGCGTAGGGTGGATATGTAGGCTCGTGACGTCACTTCCTCATGCGTCTCGCCTCGCAGGCATGTCCAAATCCACTTGGCGAGCTGGGCAGAGTGCCTTCGTCTCCATGGAAACGGCCACTTTTGGAGCAGATATGAAGGATGCATCTGATGTATGCTCCCCCTTGGACTGCCACCTTAACGTGGTGGGGGAGTTTGAGTACTCGGATGATCCTGGGAGCTATGCTGTCTGGGGCTTCATACCCCTGGTAGGGCCTCCCATGGCAGACAGGTCTCAAGTGACGAGTCAGACGAAGCGCAGTCCGAAGCCAACCATGGACAGCACGACAACGAAAACCGTGACGTCGCCCGGCATGGCGCAGCCGGGGCCCCACCCTGGAGCCAGGCCTGGGGTCGGGGCTCGCAAGCGAGCGCCTGGTGGCCGGGCCTTAGCCCACGGGGCCCGGCCGGGCTCAGCCCAAAGGGATGACGTGGGCAGTCCCTCCTGTGGGCCCACCACCTGCAGAGGGGTCCGTGGTGGCGTGGTGCAGCGAGGACTGGGCAGCGGTCGAAGGCGGAGACCTCGACGACCCAGTCCACACACTCAACATCTGGCTCTTGGGACGTGGAACGTCACCTCACTGGGGGGGAAGGAGCCCGAGCTTGTGGGGGAGGTTGAGCGATACCGACTAGAGATAGTCGGCCTCACCTCCACACACAGCTTGGGCTCTGGAACCCAACTCCTTGAGAGGGGTTGGACGCTCCACTTTTCTGGTGTTTCCCGCGGGGAGAGGCGGCGAGCTGGGGTGGCCATACTCATTGCCCCCCATCTCAGCCGCCACGTGTTGGAGTTCTCCCCGGTGAATGAGAGGGTCGCGTCCCTCCGCCTCCGGGTGGGGGACAAGTCTCTCACTGTTAGGCCTACGGGCCTAACAGCAGTGCAGAGTACCCGGCCTTCTTGGAGTCCTTGGGAGGGGTACTGGACGGTGCACCGCCCGGGGACTCCGTTATTCTCCTGGGGGACTTCAACGCCCATGTGGGAAATGCCAGTGACACTTGGAGAGGGGTGATCGGGAAGAGCGGCCCCCCTGATCTGAACCCGAGCGGTGTTCAGTTGTTGGACTTCTGTGCTAGTCACGGCCTGTCCATCACGAACACCATGTTCGAGCACAAGGGTGTCCACCAGTGCACGTGGCACCAGGACACCCTAGGCCGGAAGTTGATGATCGACTTTGTTGTTGTATCATCTGACCTTCGACCGCGTGTCTCGGACACTCGGGTAAAGAGAGGGGCAGAGCTGTCAACCAATCATCACCTGGTCGTGAGTTGGATCCGCTGGCAGGGGAAGAAGCCGGTCAGACCTGGCAGACCCAAGCGTATAGTGAGGGTTTGCTGGGAACGTCTCGCTGAGCCCCCTGTCAGACGGACTTTCAACTCACACCTCCGGGAGAGCTTCTCCCAGGTCCCGGCGGAGGAGGGGGACATCGAGACCGAGTGGACCATGTTCTCTTCCTCTATCGCCAATGCGGCGGCTCGTAGCTGTGGTCGCAAGGTCTCTGGTGCTGGTCCCGGCGGCAATCCCCGAACCCGGTGGTGGACACCGGCAGTAAGGGATGCCGTCAGGCTGAAGAAGGAGTCCTATCGAGCCATGATGGTTCGTGGGACTCCTGAGGCAGCTCTCCAGTACCGGCAGGCCAAACGTGCCGCGGCCCGGGCTGTTGCAGAGGCAAAAACCCGGGACTGGGAGGAGTTTGGAGAGTCCATGGAGCATGACTATCGGTCGGCCTCGAAGAGGTTCTGGCAAACCGTCCGGCGCCTCAGGAGGGGGAAGCAGTTCTTTGCCAACACCGTGTATGGTGCGGGTGGAGGGCTGCTGACCTCGACTGAGGATATTGTCGGGCGGTGGAAGGAATACTTCGAGGTTCTCCTCAATCCCCCCGTCACGTCCTCCGTTCAGGAGGCAGAGGCTGAGGATGTTGGGGCGGACACTTCCATCTCCCTGGCCGAGGTCACCAAGGTGGTTGGTAGCCTCCATGGTGGCAAGGCTCCGGGTGTGGATGAGATCTGCCCTGATTATCTAAAGTCTCTGGATGTTGTAGGACTGTCTTGGCTGACACGTCTCTGCAACATCGCGTGGCGATCGGGGGCGGTGCCAATGGAGTGGCAGACCGGGGTGGTGGTCCCTCTCTACAAGAAGGGGGACCGGAGGGTGTGTTCCAATTATCGTGGGATCACACTCCTCAGCCTCCCCGGTAAGGTCTACTCCAAGGTACTGGAGAGGAGGCTACGTCCGATGGTCGAATCTCGGATTCAGGAGGAGCAGTGTGGTTTTCGTCCCGGTCGCGGAACACTGGACCAGCTCTATACTCTCCATCGGATACTCGAGGGTTCATGGGAGTTCGCCCAACCTGTCCACATGTGCTTTGTGGATTTGGAGAAGGCGTTCGACCGTGTTCCCCGGGGTGTCCTTTGGGGGGTCCTCCGGGAGTACGGGGTCCGGGGTCCTCTGCTGAGGGCCGTCTGGTCCCTGTATGACCGGAGCCAGAGCTGTGTTCGCATTGCCGGCAGTAAGTCAGACCTGTTCCCGGTGCATGTTGGCCTCCGCCAAGGCTGCCCTTTGTCACCGGTTCTGTTTACTGTATTTATGGACAGAATTTCTAGGCGCAGCCAGGGGCCGGAGGGGGTCCGGTTCGGGAACCACAGGATTTCATCTCTACTTTTTGCGGATGATGTCGTCCTGTTGGCTCCAACGAACCAGGACCTGCAACATGCACTGGGACAGTTTGCAGCCGAGTGTGAAGCGGCTGGGATGAGAATCAGCACCTCCAAATCCGAGGCCATGGTGCTCGACCGGAAAAAGGTGCCCTGCCCTCTTCAGGTGGGTGGAGAGGTCCTTCCTCAAGTGGAGGAGTTCAAGTATCTCGGGGTCTTGTTCACGAGTGAGGGAAGAATGGAGCGTGAGATTGACAGGCGGATCGGTGCAGCGTGCGCAGTGATGCGGCCTCTGTATCGGACCGTTGTGGTAAAGAGGGAGCTGAGCCGAAAGGCAAAGCTCTCGATTTACCGGTCAATCTTCGTTCCCTCCCTCACCTATGGTCATGAGCTTTGGGTAATAACCGAAAGAACGAGATCGCGGATACAAGCGGTCGAAATGAGCTTCCTCCGCAGAGTGGCTGGGCGCTCCCTTAGAGATAGGGTGAGGAGCTCAGTCACACGGGAGGAGCTCGGAGTAGAGCCGCTGCTTCTCCACGTCGAGAGGAACCAGTTGAGGTGGCTCGGGCATCTGTTCAGGATGCCTCCTGGACGCCTTCCTGGGGAGGTGTTCCGGGCACGTCCGACCGGGAGGAGGCCCCGGGGAAGACCCAGGACACGCTGGAGAGACTATGTCTCTCAGCTGGCCTGGGAACGCCTTGGGGTCCCCCCGGACGAGCTGGAGGAGGTGTGTGTGGATAGGGAAGTCTGGGCGTCTCTGCTTAGACTGCTGCCCCCGCGACCCGGCAACGGATAAAGCGGAAGAAAATGGATGGATGGATGGATACTTATACTTATACTTATACTTATAATTGAATACATTAAACTCAAATGTGATTAGTAACGGTCTGTTAGCTTTTCAAGAGATATAAAAGTGAATAAGAGCAGTGTCAAACATCTGTGTTCAACTTCATTTTACAGATGTCTGTTAATGTTTCCATGGATGTGTCAGTTATTATTATAGATCCATGGATGTGTCAGTTATTATTATAGATCCATGGATGTGTCAGTTATTATTATAGATCCATGGATGTGTCAGTTATTATTATAGATAAATGGATGTGTCAGTTATTATTATAGATCCATGGATGTGTCAGTTATTATTATAGATGAATGGATGTGTCAGTTATTATTATAGATAAATGGATTTGTCAGTTATTATTATAGATCCATGGATGTGTCAGTTATTATTATTATAGATAAATGGATGTGTCAGTTATTATTATAGATCCATGGATGTGTCAGTTATTATTATAGATCCATGGATGTGTCAGTTATTATTATAGATCCATGGATGTGTCAGTTATTATTATAGATCCATGGATGTGTCAGTTATTATTATAGATCCATGGATGTGTCAGTTATTATTATAGATCCATGGATGTGTCAGTTATTATTATAGATGAATGGATGTGTCAGTTATTATTATAGATCCATGGATGTGTCAGTTATTATTATAGATCCATGGATGTGTCAGTTATTATTATAGATCCATGGATGTGTCAGTTATTATTATAGATCCATGGATGTGTCAGTTATTATTATAGATAAATGGATGTGTCAGTTATTATTATAGATAAATGGATGTGTCAGTTATTATTATAGATCCATGGATGTGTCAGTTATTATTATAGATCCATGGATGTGTCAGTTATTATTATTATAGATAAATGGATGTGTCAGTTATTATTATAGATCCATGGATGTGTCAGTTATTATTATAGATAAATGGATGTGTCAGTTATTATTATAGATCCATGGATGTGTCAGTTATTATTATAGATAAATGGATGTGTCAGTTATTATTATAGATAAATGGATGTGTCAGTTATTATTATAGATCCATGGATGTGTCAGTTATTATTATAGATAAATGGATGTGTCAGTTATTATTATAGATAAATGGATGTGTCAGTTATTATTATAGATAAATGGATGTGTCAGTTATTATTATAGATAAATGGATGTGTCAGTTATTATTATAGATAAATGGATGTGTCAGTTATTATTATAGATCCATGGATGTGTCAGTTATTATTATAGATCCATGGATGTGTCAGTTATTATTATAGATCCATGGATGTGTCAGTTATTATTATAGATCCATGGATGTGTCAGTTATTATTATAGATCCATGGATGTGTCAGTTATTATTATAGATCCATGGATGTGTCAGTTATTATTATAGATAAATGGATGTGTCAGTTATTATTATAGATAAATGGATGTGTCAGTTATTATTATAGATCCATGGATGTGTCAGTTATTATTATAGATAAATGGATGTGTCAGTTATTATTATAGATAAATGGATGTGTCAGTTATTATTATAGATCCATGGATGTGTCAGTTATTATTATAGATCCATGGATGTGTCAGTTTGTCGCGGGTTT